ACTGGGGGACTCCGGCAGGGCTGAGAGACTGGGGGCCATCATCTTGTGGCTATGGGCACCACCATCTTTGTGATGGAGTGATGGTTAATTTGCATATTACCCTTTTATTAGATAGAGTTGGAATGTAAGCTCTAAGAAGAAAGGAATTTTATTGTTCTTGTTTATAGATGAGTCCCCAAGGCCTAGAAGAGTGCCTGGCACATGGTAGATGCTCAATAAATATTTGCAGCACGGATGATATTAGGAGAAGGTGGCCTGCCCTAGCAATATAGCTTAATGAATAAACATTACATGTGCCCAGACACTCTGTATACATGATTCCATCCTCACAGCAACCCCATGAGGATGGTAACGTGATCATCCCCATTTTACAGATGATGGCATGGAGATACCTGGAATTGAACTCAGGCAGGCTGACTCAAGGCCCCACTCTGAGTCATCCTGCTGCCTCCCCCCTTTTTACCCTGGAATTCTCAAGGAGGGCTCTCTGTGGGGGGAAAAAGATTGGGCCCAGGTTCTGGGGGCATCATTATCCAAAGGAATAAATCACTAATGGTAAAATTATGCTCTAGAGTGGAGTTTAAAAATCTTATTGAAGTGATTAAACATAAAATGAACCATTTAAAGTGTACAATTTAGTGGCATTTAGTATATTCACAATGTTATGTAACCACCACCCCTATCTAGTTTCAAATTAACTTTGTCATCCCTAAAGAAAACCCCATTAAGCAGTTTTCCCCCATTCTCCTCTCTCCTGAACCTTTGGCAACCATCAATGTACTATCTGTCGATAGGTATAGATTTACCCATTCTAGATATCCTATATAATAAAGAGGTAATATGCAAATTCACCATCACTTCAACACACAAGATGGCCAACCCCATGTGGACACAGGATGGCCAGCAGGGGAGGGCAGTTGTGGTCGATCAGGCCAGCAGGGGAGGGCAGTTGGGGGTGACCAGGCCAGCAGGGGAGGGCAGTTAGGGGCGACCAGGTTGGCAGGGGAGGGCAATTGGGGGGGACCAGGCCTACAGGGGAGGGCAGTTGGGGGCGACCAGGCCAGCAGGGGAGGGCAGTTGGGGGGTGACCTGGCCAGCAGGGGAGGGCAGTTAGGGGCAACCAGGCTGGTAAGAGAGGGCAGTTAGGGGTGACCAGGCTGGCAGGGGAGGGCAGTTAGGGGCGACCTGGCCGGCAGGGAGGGCAGTTAGGGGCAATCGGGCCGGCAGGGGAGCAGTTAGGCATTGATAAGGCTGGCAGGGGAGTGGTTAGGGGCAATCAGGCAGGCAGGCAGGTGAGCGGTTGGGAGCCAGCAGTTTTGGATTGTAAGGGGGATGTCCGACTGCCCGTTTAGGCCCGATCCCACCGGGCACTCGGACATCCCTCAAGGAGTCCCAGATTGGAGAGGGTGCAGGCTGGGCTGAGGGACACACACATCCCCATGCACAAATTTCATGCACTGAGCCTCTAGTTTTAAATAAATGGAATCATACACAATATGTGAACTTTTGTGTCTGGCTTCTTTCACTTAGCATGATGTTTCTGAGGTTCATCCTTGTAGCATGTATCATATCAGCACTTCATTCCTTTTTATGGCTGAATAATATTACTGAGTGTGTGTGTGTGTGTATGTTGAAGGCAGCTTGGTGAATGTGATTTTGGAGCAATCATGTTTTGAATCTGATTCTATGGAGATGTAGCTATGTGGTGTTAGGCAAAGGAATTCACATCTCTGATTTTCAAAGTTCACTAAATGGAGATCATATAACAACCTTGCAGAGCTATTGAAAAATTAGACACACTGTGAGTATATATGGTGCATAGCAGTAGTTTATAAATGGGAGCAACGAAAACGATTATTCAATCCAGAACAAAATTGTTATCATTAAAACATGATCTTGGCTTCCTCAGAAGATGAGCACGTCCTTAACCCCACAGTCCTGGGAAACCAAAGTTAAAAGAAGGTTCCAAGGTTGAGCTCATGCTTGCTTTTGCAGTTGGAGAGCTCTTTTAATTTCTGGTGGATTGTGTCTTCAGTTTTCCCTTCCTCATTTATTCAACAGTTCTTCAAATCATGGAGGCTGAAAGCTACATGGCAGCAAAGGGGAGAAGAACTACCTTTAAAAAAAATTCTAAATTAATTCACGAAAGGAGTCCATTAGTCATCAGGGAAATGCAAATTAAAACCACAATGTGATACCAGAATGACGACAATAAAAAAGACTGACCAAAAAAAAAAAGACTGACCTTAGCAAATGTTGCGGAGTCTCTGAGTGACGAACTCTCAATGATTGCCGGTGGAAGTGCAAAATGAACCACGTTAGCAGACCATTTGGGAGCTTCTTTACAAAGTTCAGCATACATCTACCCTATGATCCAGCATTCCACTCCTAGGTATTTACCCAAGTGAAATGGAAATACTTACCCATGAAAGTCTTGTACTAAACTCTAGCTAGAATGTTCATAGCAACTTTCATCATAGTAATAGGCAAAAACTGAAAATAGCTCAAATGCTGATCAAGAGAATGGATACACTGCAGTGTGTTTAGGCAGTGAAATGCTACACACCAAACGCAATGATCTACTCATACACCCAATAACACGAATGAACCTCAAAGCTATTATTTTAAGGGGAAAAGGCCAAACATACCCACAAACACAAATACAATGCGTACTGCCTGGTCCTATTCATAGAGAATTCTAAAACAGACAAGACTAACCTAGGGTGATAGAGATAAGATCAGGGGTTCCTGGGAGGATTGACCAGGAAGAGGCATGAGAAAACTTTCTGCGGTAATTGCAATGTTCTCTATCTTGATATGCAGTCATCAAAATGGAATGTTTAACATCTGAGCATTTCATTATGTGTAAATTACACCTTAACAAAAAAATATTCCTGTGGGCCAGGTACTAAGTAAGCTATGCTCTTTGTACATATTATGTCATTTAAGTTGTCAGCAAATCCCATGAGGTAGATATTATGGTCTCTGCTTTAGAGATGAGAAAACTCAGAAAGGTTAATCAATTTACCTCAGGACACACAGCTAGAAAATTAGATTAGAACCCAGGGGGTATGACCCTAAAGCCCATCCTCAAGGATCCCTTTTTCCTCAACACATTCTCTTCCCTGAGATTTTACAGATGGGGAAACTGAGTCCCAGTGAGGGCTGGAAACATGCTCAATACCATTTAGCTCTTTGGAATCAGAATCGAACTAGAACCCAGATCTCTTGAGCTTTCTTATTATATCACATTCTCACTTGGGCAAAGAGATCAAGCTCACTCCTACTTCTGCCCATATTGGGGTTGGGAGCTAAAAATATAATTTTTAAAGAGTTGAGTACAAATTCATGTTGTAGGAGACCAAACTGGAGGCACAGATATCTAGTAACTTCAAAATGAGAGACAGCTTTCCACCTCTCTTCGTACTGCTAGACAGAGTCATCCCAGGTTGGTTTTCTGTGGATTATGGAAGTTTACCGTTCACTCTCCCTATAATTCTACCCGCAAGACCCCACCAGACTCACCTGTTAACCTCTGTCCATGCCTTCTTGGGTAGCCAGATGTCCAAACCCTCTAACATTCAGCAGCTCCCTCTGCTTAATTTAAGAGGAGCAATCAGTTGGAATGCTGGCATGGATTAGCATAAAAAGCAGCCAATCTAATTTGGTTTTAACTCACATCCAGTGGACATTAACAGTGGTTGCCAGGTTCAGCCCATCATGTTGTTTAAAAAAACACTGTTGTTTTTGGTGGTCTTAGAAGGTCCCACCTTGTGTTTTGGGAGAAGTTGGCTCAAAGCATGATCTTTTCCTCCCCACAAAGCTTGATCTCTGGAAGGAAAAATATGTATATCCCAGCTCCCTCAGCCTCTGTCCACTAAAGGGAAACTTCATTTTGAAATTTCTTTGTCTCCTTTTTTAAAAGTTGCAGAATGTATTTCATGTTCTGTCTTTTCTCTGGAACTGGCAAATAGTGCTGTGAATGAATCACCCTGTTTCTGGGAATGTTTTGCTCCAAGAGTTCAAGGGTGGGGGTGGGTCCAACAAGATGATAAACAGCCTCTTGAGGGATCTCTCCTCCCCCCACCACGGGGCCTGTGGCCTGTGGCCTGTGAGTTCATAGAAAGGGACCATGGCTGAGCTTTCTGAGACTGCTGGGTCTAACCTGGTTTTGCAGATAAGGAAACCTAGGCTTTAGTGTTTATGGAAGGGGAGCTATGAGGCAGAGTCAGGGCCATGTATGTGAGCGCGATTCATTGCCACTGATCGTGGACCTGTGGATTGTGCCTTCATTGCTCCGAGCTTCAACTTCCTCCTCTGGAAAATGAGGGCAGGAAAAATGATGTCCCTGCTGGTTTTTAATCATTTAGGGGCTCTATGCATCTACACGCTGCCTGGTAGAAGTGCTGAATCTGAAATGTGGTACTTTGCCTCCCAAGCCAGAGAAGCATCAAGGCCTGTGGGCTTCACAAGGCATCAAGCAGCTCATTTCATTCAAGTCCCTGCTCTGTCTAGACCAGTGGTTCTCAACCTTCCTAATGCCGTGACCCTTTAATACAGTTCTTTATGTTGTGTGACGCCCAATTTCATTGTTACAAATTGAACATAATTAAAGCATAGTGATTAATCACAAAAACAATATGTAATTATATATGTGTTTTCCGATGGTCTTAGGCGACCCCTGTGAAAGGGTCGTTCAACTCCCAAAGGGGTCGCGACCCACAGGTTGAGAACCGCTGGTCTAGACCCTGACCTGGGCACGGGGGACACCAAAATGGATCAGACATGCCCCTTCCTTCAATCTGTGGGGCCAGGTAGACACACAGACAATTATAAGAGACTTGACAAGCCTGGTGATACTTTGCCTGAGGGATTTGGGAATGCAAAGAGGGCCCTAACCACACTGCCTGGGGTCAACTATAGAAGCTCTGTGGTCCAATCCCCTGGACACTTTGTTATCCCTGCCTTCTCTCATGTGGCCCCCTGACAACATCAGGCTGACCTAGGAGAACCCCCTTCTGGGGAGCTCAGAACCCCTTTGGAAGCCTTTTACTGTAGCTTTTTAGATGTGAGGGCTCCTTGGGGCTCTACATGGCTTTCTTCTCATCCTATACACAATATCTTACTGTGAGCCTCAGTTTTCTGATCAGTGAAATGGGCATAATGATAGTTTGTTTTTCAAGGGGTTGATGAAGGGATTAAATGAGGTACTATACTTAAGGCACTTAGTTCCTGATGCAGAGTGTGCTCAGTTAAGTGTTGGCTGAGTGTTACTAGTTTTTCAACATCTCCATGGATACATAATAGGTTTCTCCAACATAATTTGGCTAAAACGGAACTCTTGACTGTTTCCTCACAGTGGACTCCTACCCAGACTTCCCCATCTCAGTAAATGATAACTCCATCCCCTCAAACCAAAAACCTGGGAATCAATCT